ATATATTTTAAAAGTAATTATCAGTGATTATGTTGATTTTAGAAAGTAATACGTTATTTTGACCATTCTATTATAAATAGTTACAAAAATGGTGGCTAGATGGAGCCAGCTGCTTAGAATGATTTGGAATTTTTGTGCAACACTTTGAAGATAAATTATTATTTTTAATAATTGTAATTTAAAAATGGTGTAAATGGACATTATTTTATTAATATTATTTTTTTCATTAAAAATCATCCAAGACTCGGGATTTTCCCGAGGGCTTCATAAACAAATAAGTTTTTGTGCTTTGTATCAATTTAAAGGCGAAATTTTGGATGCAGCAGATTCCAATAACAACTTCAGTACAGTATAAAGGCTATTGAAATATCATTTAATTAATTATATATATGTGGCAATATAATAATAATGTTGGGAAAGAAAATAATCACACCACAAGTTGGTAGAGGAATCCTTGACAACCAGCAAGAGAGATGGTAGAAAGCCGGGCCCGGCAACCGCCGGGCGGCCGTTTGTGTCGAATACAATCACCAATTGTCTAATAGTCCTGAGGTTGCAAGTAACGGGCCCCTTGGAATGTCGCTGATATCTCAAGTGACCGGACCCCACATCCTGTCCCAATAGTCCCCAGAACTCCGGGCCTCTGGTCGCCCCTTGGAATGTCGCTAGTGTCTCAAATGACCGTACTTTAGCTGCCCATCTCTCTCTGGGTTGACTGTAGGTTTGTTTTATTATTCCAGGAAGAGTATATATTATGACATATGGCCCCCTTCGAAGAAGGCTGAACATGGTTTGAGTATACTTAAAGCTGTAGAAGCCAGAAATAAAGAAAATAATTTTACAGTTGAAATTAATTAAGGTTATGGTGACATAGTTTTATGTAAATAAAATATTGTATAGTACACAAGTAAATAGAGTTTGATATTTAAGGGAAAATTTGAAAATATCAAAGTTATAAAGGGCTATATACAATAAATTCTAATGTATTATAAGAGAAATGCTATTGAGAGGTGTGAGCAAGGAGAAGAAGAGCCGCATACACATGATGAAAATATTGAGCCATTAAGACTGGGGAACTCTACACTTTAAGATATGTTTTCAGGCGGACATGGCAAGGGGAAGACTTGGCATGGGTTTTCTATGCTATAGATGTAGAGTACGAGAAATGAGGTTGAGGCCGGAAATTGTGTGAGCTCAGGACTGAGGTAAATATAGAACTACATACAATGTTAGAATTTTGGCGAACAGAGGGAGGGGAAACTTGCTTTGGGCAATTCTACCTTATCTATGCAGTTACTCGTGTAGCGAGTCCGAGGGGAAGTCCCGTGTGTAGGTTAGGAAGTCGCATGGACTTATAGTTAAATTGAGAAGATAAAAATAGTTCGAGATACAAAGGTAGAATATAGGCGAACAGAGCGAGGGGAAACTTGCTTTGGCCTTTCCACCTTAATTATTTCAATACTATGAGACTTTAGTAGTTTTAGCTAGTTGGAGGAAAGTAGGCGCGCACAGTGCCAAAAATTGGGACGAGGACGGCGTTGTCCTTTACAGGTGACAAGCTGCTCGGACACGAGGTGTTTGAACCGTCGTGGGAGCTTGTGCGAGGCGATGATTTCGCGACGGGTTGAACGTAAAACCCATGTTTGCGCGAAGTGATGACGGACCGGACAAAATTAGCGACGAATTTTTTACGTACCTCCGTGGGAAATATCGGAGGTAGGTTATATCGCGCTGGTATGGACAAGGGACAAACATAAATTTGAAGACAGGGTCCGTGTGGCGAATGTGTGGCGCGAGAAGAAGGAGCGAACTGTGCCGCTCGATGCAGATTGTTCAAGTGCGAAGAAAAAGGAGTTATAATCATCTAGCAGTTAGTCAATCTGCATCCTGTGACGTACACACCAGTGGCTAGATGGTGTGGGTCGGTGGATATGCTAGAGAGAAACTACAAAATATATTATCATAAATTAAGGGTGAAGATTAGGATTTTGAAATGACAATATTGTTGGCAATAATTATCGATAATTGATTAATCAATAATTCTATAAAAGGTCCTGAGCTGGTATAAGGTTGACAAAGTTGTAAGAATGAGTGGGACATTAAGGGGAAGATAGATAAGAGTCACCAAGGGTTGGTTGTAAGCAAGGCTCACGTGGTGGTTGGAATTCTTCGACGCCTGAATTACGGAGTGAATTTTGGGTCGGTTAGGGAAAGAAATTATTTTTCGTGAGCCGTGCTTACAATTAGAAGAAGTCATATATACAAAGTGGAACAAATGGTTAGGTAGAGGAACACTATTTTTATACATAACTTGATTATGAAAATATATTTTTAATCTTAAAAATCGTAAAGTATGAATATGTAGAAGTCCATTTTTAAGGGATGACTTTATAATAAAAATATATCATTAAAATGTCTATTATTAATCCGATTGGTAAGGTACAAATTTAATGGGTTACAAATATCTAGATAAATAGTATTGAGAGAATAAAATCATTGTTAATAGGCGTGGAGAGAATAAATTGAACTAAACTAATTATAGAAAATATTGGCATCAGAGTTTACAAGGAATGACTTTTTTGAAGAACGAATGGTAGGGGTGGAAACAATTACACTCACAGGTTATGCTGGTTGAGGGCGCAAGTAGATTCATTAAGTTCATTGAGGGAGGGTTTTTTCTGCTGATAGTGTACGGGACAGTGTTGTCCGCTACAGTAGTGTCAGGGATATGGCGGAGTCTTGTCCATGATGATGGAAGGTGTCCTGCTCTGGCGCGGTGATCGTTCTTGAGCAGATCTAGCGCTGGGAGAAGTGTGCGGCAGGTTCTTCACCGTCGTATGTGATTAGTTCTTCGGGATCACGGTTCAAATGTTGGTCGAGACAGAGGGTGAGGGCTCGAAGAGAAGCGGCTACAGTAGAGTAGGTATTTGAGTCTTGTGGAACTTGGTTGTGGGTTTGTCCGATCATCGTGGTGTTGCTTCTTTTTTCTTCATAATCTGGTATATGAGGGATTTGCTTCCCGGCCAGGTCTGATCCTGTCGACTTTTAATGTGGCAATATAATAATAATGTGGCGAAAGAGAAATAATCACACCACAATTTGGTAGAGGAATCACAGACAACCAGAGAGAGAGATGGGGGGACAGCCGGCCTCCCCGCCGCTGAGCTGCCGGCCGTTCGTATCGCACACAATCCGCAACTGTCTAATAGTCCTGAGGTTGCAAGTAACGGGCCCCTTGGAATGTCGCTGATATCTCAAGTGACCGGACCCCACATCCTGTCCCAATAGTCCCGAGAACTCCGGGCCTCTGGTCGCCCCTTGGAATGTCGCTAGTGTCTCAAATGACCGTACTTTAGCTGCCCATCTCTCTCTGGGTTGACTGTAGGTTTGTTTTATTATTCCAGGAAGGGTATATATTATGGCATATATTTGAAAGTAGCGTTAAAAATTTATAATTTACAGAATATACTCTTAATACATTGCATTAGCACGCCATCTGTTATAAGAAATTGCAACTATTTTTGATGAGTATGTTTATTTTCGAAATAAAACAATTATCTAATGTCATTACTGCAGTTATAAATTAATAGAAGGGCCTGGCTTATTAGAGGTGAACCCTCCTCAATAATTATCATTGCAGTAAAGGCAGTAGAAAATTATTTTATTTCAAAAAAAATCATACGTTTCAAAAATAGTTCAAATTTTTCATAACAGATGGCGCGCTAATACATAAAGCTCATATTTACATATTTTGACATCAAAATATATATAAATAGAGGGCAATAAGAATATTGAATATAAATATATGTTATAAAATAAATGAAGCTTCCAGGGATAAGTTTCTTGTGTAACCTTTTATTATTTAAACTTCCAGGCGTGTCAGTCCTTCAACAGTATTATCACGTTAATAATTTAATAATATTCATACACTTAGGGCAGTTGGAGTTTTTATTTTCTCAACGTTTCGACAAAAATCATATTTCTTCGTCAGGAGAAGTAAATAAAGCATTTGGCAAGGCGTTAAAAATTGTTCTGAGGTTGCAAGGACGTTCTCACGTGATTTTTCGAATTTAGTACAACATCTAAAACGCGAGTCAAAAACAAATATTAAACTCGTCAAAGACTATGATATAATATTTTTGTCAAAACTTTGAGAAAATAAAAAACTCCAACTGGGCGAAGTGTCTATTAATATATACAGTTATCAGCGTCATGCATTCTTTCTTAATTCTGTCACCGTTTGCTCTTGGTTCAGTGGTAGAATGCTCGCCTGCCACGCGGGCGCCCCGGGTTTGATTCCCGGCCGATGCATTTTTTTTTTTAATTTTTAAAACTCAATTATATTATTAAAATATATGTGCTTTTCCTGTCTATGTACACAAGTATACAAGTATGTATACAAGTTATTTGCAAATTGCGTGGCAAATTTGCCCTTTCGCTTCCAAGTAGCGCCTCTAGCGGTGAAGATGGGAGGTAATATCAGCTGACCTAATGGACATGTAAAACGTGTTTTAACAGGACATAGAGAAAAATCTCGAAAATATATTTTTCGGATTTTTAGTCAAGAAAAATAAATTGACAGGTTCTGGGAAAAAAGTAGTTGTTTTATTCAGAAAATGATGATGACAATATTGCTGTATCATATTTTATTATCAGATAGAAAATTATATCCGGAAAAATTCCAAAAAGCAGAGACCACGGGTGAAGCCAGTTCATTTTTAGTATGCAGGAACAAAATTCTAACAGAAAAACATTCATTCGAGCAGAAGACACAAAGCCAGATCATTTCTTCATAAAAATAAGGCTTCTCAGACGCAAAGTTTGGAGCGGGACGTTTCACAAGAATGACATCCACGGCGCCAATTTATAATTGTAACGAATAGTATTTGAATAAAAGCATTTAATCGGGTAAAACCCGGGCATTGCCCTTTCTTAATCAATTCTGTCACCGTTTGCTTTTGTGAATGGAATAATTACCCAAATATGGCCATTTCTCATAACCATCGGTGGTTCAGTGGTAGAATGCTCGCCTGCCACGCAGGCGGCCCGGGTTCGATTCCCGATCGATGCATTTTTTTTTTTTTTACAATTTTTAAAACTCATTTATATATTATACAAGAATGACATCCACGGCGCCAATTTATAATTGTAACGAATAGTATTTGAATAAAAGCATTTAATCGGGTAAACCCCGGGCGTTGCCCAGGTCATTTGGCTAGTTTTTTATATAAATATGAATGCCGGCCAGGCAACCTCTATCTTTACGATAAATTGATAATAAACACAATTTTTATATACACATTATTATATACATATTTTAAATACTTATTATATATTGAGAGAGAAATATATTACATTATTTCTGTTTGTAACACTAAATTTTGAAAATACACGTGCGTGGTGGATGGATGATTTATTTATTTATTTATTATCATTTACAAAGCACGCGATATCCGTCTTGGATATTTGCATGCATACACAAGTTTGGGAGCTTATTTACAGTAATTATTAATATGATTTTAGTTATCATAATAGAAATTATTAACATATTTGTCAGTTAGTTAACGATTTAATTACCCTATAATGAATATTAGTGAACATCACAGATAAGAACAGAAATTTAGAGCTATTTACAGCATATATCTATATATCAGTTATTATAGCCCAGGCTATCTATTACTAAAAAACATTCTACAAAAACTATTAAAATTTATATACATATATCTATTATTAACTATTTGATTTAGACAGTTTATATTTATTTGATTTTTGACTCTCAAGTCCTCTACAAGTCGACAGTCCGTTAGAATATGTACAGGATTTTCTTCTTCTGCACCACATGAGCATTTAGGCGAATCCGTCTTTCTGTCTTTGTACAAATATGATCTAAAGTTACCGTGTCCAGTAAAAAATTGGACATTGTAAAAATTTGGCTTGACATATTTGGGTATTTGGGAATCAGTGAAGAAGGACTTGAAAATGGTATTAGTCTTCTCATAGTATTTCTGCAATTTTCCCCTTATATAATTAGAAATTATATTCCTACTTGAAGAGTCAAATCGGTTGTAATTTATTTCGGTTTTCAACATGTTAGATTCGATATAATCAGTAAGTTTGGGGACTTGTGCAAGTATATGTGTACAATCCGATGATGTTGTACTGTAGGCCTGTATACAATGTTTTAATATATTATATTGAAGAGAATTTAGTTTGTCCTTAGACTTTTTGTTTATGAATGGATACCATATTGGATAACCATAAGTAATTGTACTTCGATATAATGTCTTATACAATATCAGTCTTCGTCTAAAATCTAGACCCCATGCTTTCTTTGTCAGGCCAAATAGGTATCCACTAGCTCTAGTTACTTTTATGATCATTTCATTAACGTGAGGCGTAAAGTCCAGTTTGCTTCTGACTCGGTGATTTTTAATAGTCACTCCTAGGATCTTAAGTTTTTCAACCGGTTTAATTAACTTGCTACCTGAGACTATTATATCGTTATTGCATTTATATAAATATAATATTTTTGTTTTTTCATCGGACAATTTTAATTTACGACTTTCACACCACTTATTGATTTTTCTTAATACATTATCTATTGTCTTTCTTAGTTGTTCAGGAGTTTTATTCCAACATATTAACGTAATATCATCTGCATATCCTATTGTTTCACAATTATCATCCTGATTATTATTCAGTATCTCATTAACAAGAATATTCCATAATGTGGGAGACAGTGGTCCTCCCTGTGGACATCCTTTACTTAATTTCTTATTAATTTCAGTTGAGGAATATCTAAATCTTATTCTTCTATTATCAAAGTATGATTGTAGAAGTTTTATCATTGAAGCCTGCACACCATCTCCATCTAGTCTTTTCATCAAGGCCGGCCACCATGCATTATCAAACGCTGCACTAATATCCACTGCAATTATTGCTGCATATTCTCTTGTTTTATGTTCTAACGCAATTTTTTATTATTTCAGTTAGTGCAGTAATAGTAGACTTCGATCTTCTAAAGCCATGTTGTCGATCACTTAGTAAATTAAAATTTTCATAATATTTTATTATTCTGTTATTAATTATTTTTTCAAATATTTTAGAAATGTTGGAATTAAGACATAAAGGTCTATAATTTTTAAAGTTATTAAAATCAGTTTTTCCAGGTTTCGGAATAATTATTGCCTCTGCTCTTTTCCATTCAGCAGGATAGTATTGTAGGTCTAAACATTTTTGAAATAGTTTCACCAATATAGGAGCTATAAATTGTTTAGTGTGCCTTATCATGTTGTTAGAGATGTTGTCTATTCCGGGAGATTTCTTTGGATTTAATTTGTCAATTAAGTCGTTAACTTCAGTAATCATAACCATCTGTTTTTCTTTATTGAGTAGTTTTAAATTATAATTTCTTATACTTTTATGGATGTTTGTATCTTCTTCACATTTATCATCTGGAAATAAGTTATTCAATAATTCCTCACCCTTCTGCAAACATTCCATATCAGTATTACCCTCCAAAATTTGCATATTTCTCTTCCGCTTAGATCCACTTTTGATGTTTTTGTACACCTTATATAAGTTTCCATAAGGGTTGTTCAACTTGTTTTCCTCCAGAAAAATTCTCCATGATGCTTTCCTAGCTTTTTCTATTTCCCGTAAATACTTATTTCGTATGCTTTTATAGTATTGTTTAATATGATTAGGGCAATTTTTGTTTCTAAAGTAACAGTTTCTAAGATAATGACAGTGATCCTTTAGAAGCTGTAAATTCGTATTCCACCACTTATTACTAATATTATTTTTGGTTGTCATATTATTATTTACTTTAAGTGAATTATGTGCTGCCTAAATCAGTATGTTCGTAAGTTCTTTTACCGTTTGATCAATCATTTCTGGTGTATCCACTATGTCTAGTAAGTTTTCAATTTTTTCTCGTTCAGTAATGTTAATTCTCTGACTAAAACTTAACCAGTTCGCATTTTTCTCATTAAATTTCCAAGTGGAATAATATTTTTCTGAACTAAATTGTTCGTTTGTATATATTTCAAAAGATATAGCTACATGATCTGAAATTTGCGATATCTGCTGCGTCTTCCAATTTCTGATCGCCGCAATGATAGTGTTGGTTGAATGATAGCTCGAGACTTCAAATTAAATATAATAAATTCATGAACTATTGTGTTATATATAGAAGACATCTATGGGACAGTATTTGTTCATATTGTTTCGTATGTTTCTGATATTTCAATGCATCTGTTTATGCTTTTTTTGCTGTTTGAGTATCATAGATTCTATTAAAACTCTTTGGTATTTACTATGGATATTGCCATAATACACTATCGGTTGAGATAAGTTAAATGTATGACCTGTTTCTTTTATGTGTAATAATAAATAAATTCCGATTGCGAACAGTGTTACATCGGAGAAACCGGTCGATCTATCCGCACCAGATTATCTGAACACAGACGCAACATACGCACCAACGACCACAAGTCTCTCTTATGCCAACACATCACAGAATTTCGCCACTCGTTCAATTTGGACAGCGCTGTATGCGTTTACAAGGGCGTCGGGAACAAGTATCAGCACCTAGTCCTTGAATCTTTGGTCTCGCACTGCACGCCCATTTTTAACCGAAAAATCGACCTCTCACCCCAATACTCCGTGTTTTACCTCGCCAATCCCCCCAGCTGAACTATTTACCGACTGTATTGGGCTATCTTTCATATCCATAGTTTTAAAATATTTCCAAGTTGTAACCTGAAGAAGGGCATTCTTGCCTGAAAGCTTGTGCTTTTACCATTAAAAGAAAATCACCACGTGTTTATCGCCTTCATTTCAAATATTCTATTTTTGTTTAAAATATTTCATTTTTATTTTTACCTTTCAATTATATAATCACTAATTTTTAATCCAACATTATTTAAAAAAAATCAATTTTACTTCTATTTTTCATAATATTATTTTAGTATTACAAAAGATTTATTTGTTGTCAAAAATCACTTTAAATCTTCACTATTATTACACATATATAATACACTAGCCGAATGACCCGGGCAATGCCCAGGTTTTACCCGATTAAATTATTTTATTCAAATACTATTCGTTACAATTATAAATTGGCGCCGTGGATGTCATTTTTGTGAAACGTCCCGCTCCAAACTTTGTGTCTTAGAAGCGATATTTTTATAAAGAGATGATCTGGCTTTGTGTATTCTGCTCGAATGAATGTTTTTCTGTTAGAATTTTGTTCCTGCCTACTAAAAATGAACTGGCTTCACTCGTGGTCTCTGCTTTTTAGATTTTTTTCCGGATATAATTTTGTATCTGACAATCAAATATGATACAGCAATATTGTCATCATCATTTTCTAAATAAAAAACAACTAATTTTTTCCCAGAACCTGTCAATTTATTTTTTTGACTAAAAAATCCGAAAAATATATTTTCCAGATTTTTCTCTATGTCCTGTTAAAACACGTTTCACATGTCCATTAGGTCAGCTGATATTACTTCCCAACTTTACCGCTAGAGGCGCTGCCTGCGAGCGAAAGGGCAAATTTGCAACGCAATTTGCAAATAACTTGTATACATACTTGTATACTTGTGTACATAGACCATAAATATGTACATAGACAGGAAAAGCACATATATTTTAATAATATGAATGAGAGAGAGTTTTAAAAACTGTAAAAAAAAAATATGCATTGGCCGGGAATCGAACACGGGGGCGCCCGAGTGGCAGGCGAGCATTCTACCACTGAACCAAAAGCAAACGGTGTCAGAATTGTGCATGACTCTGATACTTGTATATTTTAATGTTTGATTTTGTTCACTTAAACTTTATTCAACCACAATGATATTTCTATATTTTTATTCATTTTATATTTGTTTTTATACCTTTATATAATATGACCATGTTTATCATTAACTATCGGGCATACAATAATCGTTTCCCTAACCACTTCAATGTACTTTTTACTACTATCTATTTCAGCCATTGCTTCATATCAACGTAGTAAAACGACAGTACTGCTTGACAATTTTTTTTTATTTCGTAATTTCAACA